TAAACCTAAACATTATGGATTAGCTTGAATCTTTTCTTTTCCTGTTTTCCCTGCAGATTCGAAGGCGTTTTTTGGAGTAGCCACAGAAGGTGTGACTGAGTTGATGACCACATCGTCAGTCCATACAAAAAAAAAAAAGATCCATAGTTTTAGGCATTTGAGCTGATTCTGTAAATCTTAATATATTTGATGTTTGTCCATTGCTGCCAGGTCCGAGATTCATTCGTCCTGCAGGCGATCTGACTTCACAACATTTCAGCATCATATTTCTGTCTATTGGGCTTCTTGTTCTTGTTCTGCTGAGCATGGTTTTCTGCCGCGTTTACTGTAATTGGCACGGTAGGTCCTTCTCTCCTAAAGGTCGAATCTGCAGCAAATCTAGCAGTAAAGTTGCTTTTAACATCATTAGCAAAGTTGAGATCGGTGAGGACAACGGAGCAGACGGTTTGAACAACCTGCGGACGATGAGGAGGAGACGATGAAGATGGACCAAAGCTTGAAGACGTGTCGGCTCTAAAATACTGATTATTGTTAAAAATCACTAGTAATAAAAGGTATAATAAATTTTTATCATAAAAAAGGCTAATTAAAAATTAAATAAAAACTATTAAACAAAAATAAAGCATTTCTCACTTCATATTTGTTGTGTGGGTCATCAGCATCGCTGTGGATGCTAAAGCCTCGTCCCCTGATCTGCTGAACTTATAGTTGATCAGCTTCTGATTTGCTGACAGCTTTGATTGCTCCAATTATCTGCTGGTAACTGTTGGAGCAGCCATGTGAGGAATATTAATCCCACGATCCTCTACCCACTTCCAGCAGCAGGAAGACGAGGCGCTTCAGACGGAAACGCTGCAGGATCTGCTGCTTTCTGTAGCCGTGCTTCACCGGAGAGGACAGATGGCGCTTCCTCACTTTCACTTCATCCCTCCTCTGCACAACAACACAGCTGTAACCCAGACAGTCAGACAATATCTAACGAAGAAAAATACTATCATGGAAAAAAATTACTTTAACAAGAGTCTGGATGAGAAGAAATAGGAAATGTATTAAAACCTTGCAAGGTGAGAACAGAAATAGAGTCAAGGGGAATGTCAAGTCTGCTCTGACCAACAGTGGCTCTGACTTCCTTTTATAGGTTCTGGTCAGAGAAGAGAGACTTGATTGGACAGTCCAATCAAGTCTCTCTTCTGTCAAGTCTTTCTGCTCTGTCCTTTGAAGGAGGAGGACGCACCTTCTCTGTCTCCCTGTCCTCCCCATCTTCCCTGCTCAGCGTCTGTGTCCTGTGTTTTCAGAGTCTTTCTTTTGAAAAGCTTCCAAAGTTGCAAATTATGGATCTGGTCAGCTGGTCTCAACGCAATTGAAACATTTTTTCCACTGGGAAACCGGGTAAGGGGGAACCTTCGTGTCCCGACGGGACATTCTTCACTGGATATACGATGGATTCTGGATGGAAGTGGAAGACCGTGTGTCTGACGATGCCGTCAGTCGAGGATGTTGAAGATGTGTAGATGATTGGATTCACGATAACAGGGTTTCTGCTTATTGGAGTTGGCTGAGCCGCCTTTTAGCCACTTCAAGGCTGTAGCATCAGGGCCTCTATCTGATGCTACACTTTTAAAAACATAGTCAAATTGTTCTACACGGAAGTTTTCTTCACAAATGTTTCTAGATGTTTTAACCGTGGTGGGAATGACATTTCTGATGATTTTTTTTAGGTCTGATGCTTTTATTGTGAAGGGGAAACTTCCGGTTTAACTGTTAACACAAAGGCAGCTTAACGGCAACCAAAGACCGAGGATAGGTTGGAGCTGAAATGTTTCGTGTTGGTAGCAGCCCGGTTTATAGCAGCACACGGTTTGGGTAAGATGTTAGGACGTCCAGGCATTTTGTCACTATAACTGCGATTTGCCTAATTTAATGCTAAATGAAATGTTATTTTTAAGTAGCAAACATAAACGGCTGTGAGAGAAGGCTCTTGGTGTTCAGCTGCCTCTGTTCCTGGGTTCATCTCCAGCTCTCACGGTGAAACCGGGGCATGAATTCAGTTACATTATTGGTCCCAAAGAGAAATGTGATATTATTAATCCATCAGTAAGGTGTCATCCTTCATTATGCTGCAAAGGATTTTATTTTCATGTTCAACTTGTTTCGAAATCATTTTTAAAATATGTTTGAGTCCGATCTGCAACTGTCGGTTAAAATGAGAACCAACAACTTCATTGACAAAACCAGAAAGTAATTAAACGTTTTGGAACAGATTTCCTGTCCTTTATGTTCTGCAAATGTTTCTGCAGTTTCTGTAATTCACTTAAAATCACGTCTCTTTGGTTTTCTTTGTTATTATTAGATAGATTTTATTGCAGACTCAAAGTCCAAATCACTTTAAAAAGAAAAACAATGAAATAAGAGAATAAAAAGTACATGAAGAGACCCCGAACCATTCAGGAGGCAGTCGTACCAATGTCTCCCAAGGACAGATGAGTATCTTGCTGCACTATATTTAACAGGATAATTCTGTTATCAGACTGGTTTAAACGGCAAATAGGTGAATACATAAGCTTTCTTCAAACAGCCATCAAAGAGCTGATCCAACCAGTTGACTGGCTCTGGTCCACCTGGGCCTTTCTAACAAAATCTTAACGCATCGCTATAAAACATCTTGAGTCTGGAGGCTGGCTTCGTTAAAGCTGCACCACAGATGTGCTGCATACAGCGACGTAGAATATGACCTAAACAAGTTCAGGTTGACTTCATCAGGACAGAATCCAAACTTACGGACCGGACATTTGGCTGAGCACATTTGAACCTGACGGTAAATGTCCCCAGCATCAGACGGACGGTCTGCCAACACATGACCAAGATGTTTGACTTGATTTGAGACGTTCAGTAAGATCCCAGACAGCCTGACATCAGGGGACGCCCTGTTTTTGTCCTCTTGAGAGCGACAGACCAAATGAGACTTCTGGATGGACTGAATTGAACGTCATGTCGTTCACCGTATGCTGAACACACATTGAGCAGCTTCTGAAGACCAGCTGAACTTGGACTAAACCCACTAAGTCATCAGCATACATGAACTGACTTGTAATTGTATCTCCAACCATACAGCCAGTTCTACACAGGTTCAGCTGCTTGGAGAGCTCATTCACATAAAGATGAATCAATGCAGGGGGTAAAATGCTTCCTTGTCTGACTCCATTACTGACACAGAAGGGAGCAGACACACAGTTGTCCCATTTGACCTGCACAGTTTGGTTAGCACACCAACAGGACAGACATCTTACTATGTATTTAGGCACAGCAGCTTGGCACATCATTTATTGCTTTAAATGATTTTATTTTTCATGCTCAGCCGTTTTTGAAAGCAGAAGAAGAGAGTTGGAGC